GGTGCCATCCCAGGGACCCCATTTTCCAAAAGCTAACCGCTGAGGATGTGGGTTGGTGCTTGGGGGGGGACTCGGGGCTGCCCCGGGAACAGCCGGGAGCCTGGCCGATTTCCCGTTTCGGAGAGCAGCTCCGAAGGTTTGTCCCGGACACGTTCCAGAGAATTGTGTGTCAGGATTGGGGTGCCCCCTCCGGCTTCCTACTGACAAATGCCTGAGCACCCTTTTGGGGGAGGCCTTCCCCTCCCCCACTGGCAGGGGGTCAGCCTGCTCCCAGGGCTCGGGGCGTCTCCCTGGTGGACAATTGGACACCCCACCGGATGCAAACCAACCAGCCAGCCGTGCGAGCTGATTGCCTGCCGGGCACCCGCAGGTCTGGCCGGAGGCCTCGCCTCCCACGCAGAGCAGGCCGGCTGGGCTGCACGTGGAAAGAGGGGGCCACCTCCCAGATGTTTGCTGTGGCTCCCGTGTGGCCGGGAATCGCCCGCGTGGGGGCGTCGGGGGGGCCCCTAGACCCGCCACACGAATGACCCCCATCCCCGTCCAAAGCCATTGGTGGAGCGTGTGTGGAATCTTCTGGCCCAACTCCGCTTCCCGCCTCCCGACCTCCCCCGTCCCCCCAGGCAGGATCCAAGGGTCCAAGACCATTTCCACCCAACACGCGTTTTCCCTTTTTCCGTAGGAATTTTGTCTGTTGTTCTTTTTTTTTTTTTTTTTTTTAACCAGCACCTCACGTCCCCTTCCTGGATCACTACAGTGAAGTATTACCGATGTACAGTCCCCGCCCGGCCTGGCCTCTTGCTCCGATGAAACTTTGTATGTATTTTGTACGGCATAGAAGTCTATATTGTAATGATGTCCTCCTATGCAAACGGCAAAAGCAAAAAAAAAAAAAAAAAAAAGGAAAGGAATTGTACATTTGATTGTTTTAACGTGTATGCATGTTTAGTGACGTTTACATTTTGAAATAAAAATTTATGATTCATTATTGGATTGGCCAGCGTGGATTCTTGTTTTGTTTTTAAATAGATTTTTTTTATTGATTTCAGCGTGGATTCTTGTTTTGTGTTTAAATAGATTTTTTTATTGATTTCAGAGAGCAAGAGAGAGGGAGAGAGAGAGAGAGAAACATCACTGATGAGAGAGAATCATGGATTGGCTGCCTCCTGCACACCCCCCACTGGGGATCGAGCCCGTAACCCGGGCATGAGCCCTGACCGGGAATCGAACTGCGACCTCCTGGTTCATAGGTCAATGCTCAACCACTGAACCACACGGGCCGGGCAATAAAAATATTTTTAAAAAAAATTTACCAAAGCGGTAAATCTCTTCCTCTCCCTTCCTCTCTTTGAAATCAATAAAAACTCATCCTTTTAAAAGCAGAGAGATAGCCCTGGCCAGCTTGGCTCAGTGGATAGAGCATCAGCCTGTGGACGGAAGGGTCCCAGGTTCCATTGTGGTCAAGGGCACGTGTCTGAGGGCCGGTTCGATCCCCAGTGTGGGGCGTGCAGGAGGCAGCCGATCCACGATTCTCTCTCATCATCGATGTTTCTATCTCTCTCTTCCTCTCTGAAACCAATACAGGTATGTTTTTAAAAAAATAAAATGAAAGCAGAGCGATATAGAGACAGCCTCCGGGTGCA